AACCCTCTGATACTTTGACTTGATTCAAAGTGGCAATGCAATGGTGCTCAGTACAGAACAACTATTTATGACCCTTTATGATACTAAACGAAATTATTTTCCTTTGTCAAGCAGAGAAGGTGGAGAGATGTGCTTTGTAAGAAACTAATCAGCGTGCTAAGTTTGGTTTGCAGTCTGATAACAGACTTCTAAAACAAATAGCTTCTTTTGAACAAGATAAAGAAGAGACAAGCTTGAATAAATGTTCGAGCACATGTTCGCTGGGGCTCTAAGAGCAGACTGGTTCTGTTCAGTTTCCTTCACGAGAAGGTGCATACATAGACCTTTGCTACAAACTACTGTAATAGTTTTAACAGGGTTATTTCAGACCTAGCAAAGGCCAAAAGTTGTATCAGCAGGGCCTGAGGAAAGAAAAATAGATTTTAAAAGCAGCTTTTTAAAGCAACAGGTACATAGGAGACTGTAAAAAACTGGCAACAACAGAGTTAAAGTGACTTAATGCTTTCAACACAGTATATTCTTGGCTAGGTGACTTTGCTTGTGGCTATAGTATAAATAGTTGCAGTATGTTACACCTTCTGAGAATCTCCCTAAGCCCATAGAAAAAGCAGGCTAAATAATGGGAATGAATTCTCTGGAAAAAAAAAAGTCCCAAAGACCTTTTCCTCACTGTGAAATCCTGGTTCATTGCTTACTCATCTGGAAGAAATGCAGCACTAGAAATTGATGTTAAGAACAAAGGGAATATGTGAAATACCTTGCTCAATGAAATTGTGAGGAGGAAAAAAAAAACAAAACAGGTTTTGTTATCATGGAAATGGATTTTCCGTCATGGACGCCATGCTCTGTCTTCAGGGTGAAATCAGCCAGCTTAAAGAGGGCATGGGGCAACTGAGGGGAAGCTACTCCTCCAGCCCAGTCTTCTCTGTCTTTTTTGTAAGCCTACTTTCTTCCTTGTGCAGAAGGTCACCTCCCTCGGCCCTCAATACACTTCCGCACAGGCTGACAGAGAAGCCAGTCCCCAGGCAGCCTAGCTGGATAGCAGCGCTACTCTGTGAGCTTCCCTCGAGTCCGCATTGGCAATAAACGGAGGTCGTGTTTTGACATGGGAAATTAAATGGGTTTTTAAGATGAAGTCACACCGCCATTGCTTGTCTTTCCAAACTGTAGCAGCATACAGCCAAACCTGCTCTCTGAACACCTAAACGAGCTTGTTTGGATCAGCTTCTCCTCCACTGAGGACATTCATTAATAGCTGACATGGAAACACTCGAGTCCACCAATTTGAGTGGGAGTTAGGTTTAAGATCCAACAAAAAGGTAAACAAAACTTGACTATAAAACTCATATACTTTCAGTCTACCTCTGTGGCAGAATGGTGAAAGTTTAACCCTGCATGTGGAGATCTGAAGTGACAAACCCTCAATCGGAGGGACAATCCAAAAGATGCACTCTGACACCCGCAGGAAGGCTCCCACTTTGTGAAACAGCAAAGCTGCTTGGCTAGTTGTTAACCGGACCTCAGGCTTCTCCCTCTCCTTATTTCAGCTCTTGGCAAAATCAACACCTACATTCCAGTAATAGACACCCATCATTCGTTCCACCAGAGGAACCTAAAGACTTGTAAAAATAGTAGCTGGCTGAAAACTCCCAACATGCAATTAAAGCGGGGAAATATTACCCTCATCAAGAGAGGAGGACTCTGAGAAATGGGTAAGCTAAATCACTTAAAACAGATGCACACAGGAAGCCTGCTGCAAAAGCCCAAAAGGTGCCCTTGCCTGAAGATTTTGCTCCCAAACCCTTGTCACTAAACCAAATTAGGGTCGGGAAGTGCCACACGTGGAACTTCCCTCATCGTTGCACGGGGGGGAACTTCCCTCACAACTGCAACATCATCAAAAAACCACATAAATCCCAATTCAAAATCTCAGCAGGTAAAATCCTTGTCACTTCAGGTTTTCTGAGATCATTAAACATCTAACGTTACAGATCACATTGTACCCTCAGAGACACATGGCAGATCACCAGTCAATAGGAATCTCTAATGTACATCCTGGGGCAGAATTTATCTACAGGCTGCATTTTCTATACAGAATATTTAATAGGAAGGTGTCTCAAAGATTTTTTTAAAAATAAAAAGATAGTAAGATATTGTTGTATTTAAGTATTAAAAAAAAAATCAGGAGGGTTACCACACCCAGTAGGAAACATAATATATTGTATTGTACATCTAAGCAGAAGACAGACAAATATATCCTGCAAGGTGTGTCCTCTCTTGCTAGCCACTAAAGGAATTTGCCATACCTGGTTTGAAACATTAGGCTTGGGGATGAGGGAAGGTACAGAAGCAGCTTGAGAAGCACTTTTGCCAACTCTCTTTTGACTGGCTGTTGTATTCCCTTTAAATGTAAAATCCTTGTCACTTCAGGTTTTCTGAGATCATTAAACATCTAACGTTACAGATCACATTGTACCCTCAGAGACACATGGCAGATCACCAGTCAATAGGAATCTCTAATGTACATCCTGGGGCAGAATTTATCTACAGGCTGCATTTTCTATACGGAATATTTAATAGGAAGGTGTCTCAAAGATTTTTTTAAAAATAAAAAGATAGTAAGATATTGTTGTATTTAAGTATTAAAAAAAAATCAGGAGGGTTACCACACCCAGTAGGAAACATAATATATTGTATTGTACATCTAAGCAGAAGACAGACAAATATATCCTGCAAGGTATGTCCTCTCTTGCTAGCCACTAAAGGAATTTGCCATACCTGGTTTGAAACATTAGGCTTGGGGATGAGGGAAGGTACAGAAGCAGCTTGAGAAGCACTTTTGCCAACTCTCTTTTGACTGGCTGTTGTATTCCCTTTAAATATTTTGTAATAATATCTTGTGGGGTAAGGGGGAAATTGAGGGGGGGAAGGACTTGAAAAAATAAATCCAACGCACATATTATTATTAGACATGTGTTAATATATCAGGAGGCATTATACAAGCCAGAGCTAGTGCTGAGGACTCAATTAATATCACCGCTGACTCCACTCACCTGTGAGCAGCCTGGGGCACTGCAGACAAAAGGCCTCTCCTGCTCCAAGTTCATCTTTGATTCCTCATAAATCTACATGTTAAAAGGGGGAGGGGGAAAGAAAGGGAACCTATGAATATATACATTCTAAACTTCACACATGCATGCAACATACAATCGTCACGGTTTGTGCTTTTATTTCAAACTCCCAAAACAGATCCAGGACAAAGTTTTCATCCTCAGAGTACTAAATTTGCTAATATTCAGCAGGCTCCCTACAGTCTAAGTTCTTATTACTCCTTCCTGAGCACATATTTACTTTGAAGGAAGAAAAAAAAGAACTCATTAAGCTTTCACAGCAGAAATCTGCCTCAGAAAAAAGCATATTTAGATAAGACCGTGTCTGCTCAGAAATATCTCGAATTAAGGGGTTTTACCTTTCCTTCTTCAGTTCCTGCCGAACAACATTAAAACCAGACGTCTAGGTTACTTCTGAGAAAGAACCCACTTTTTGAAGTTCTTCATCCATACCGTTCGATATTAATAACTTAAATACATTACATACATGCTCTCTATACACACAAGATAATTGTGCATCCCCATCCTTTAAAAGGTCAGCTAGAGCCTCAGAAGCTTGAGAAGTGAAGTTTTGCTTAAAACTGAAGCTTTCCCATAGCAGTTTCAGTCCTGTAAGCTTGAACTAAAGCCTGGGGGAGAGCTCCTGGGTCTCGAATAAAACCGAAGAAGGAAACATTTGCCCTCAGAACACAGTAACGCAGCTGAATTTGGGTCAATATTACGGCAGTGTCCCTGACCAACATCAACAAAAATCATGTTTTAGTAACATTCTAGGATGTAAAATAAATAAGTCACTTCTTTCAGAAATGTTTTGAGCCTGTTGGTACAACTGGCATCACAAGCTAGAATAGCTAGAATATAGAAGCTGACCCACCTTAAAGCACAACAAATGACTTCTGCTTACTTTACGCCTCAAATCCCTTAAAATTCAGCCTCACCGCAGCCCCCCTTAGACAAATACCTGAGTTGTGTTTGTGTAATTTTTTCATAAAACAAAGAGAAATATCTTGGTGGAGGATCAGAACTTGATTTTAAACCTACAAAAATCTGCAGAAGTCCAAGTGCTAAAATTACTCAACCCTCTTGTCATCTTTTAAACTACAATTCATTGCTTCCTATAATCAGGAATATCTTTACCACACTTACACTTGCTGTTAGAAAAGCTTTATTTTTAGAAAAGCTCCTACCGTCCCCTGCAAACAATAAATATGCTGTTAACCTGAACATCAACCAGACCTGTACTTAGAGCAATTATTTTCAGTGCCCTAAGTTCTCAAAAAAAATCCCAAAACTTTCATATTAAAACTTTTTTTTTTAATTAAAATTCATTCTGGAGGACAGCATTAGCCTGACAGGATATTTTCCTACTTGCAACCTAAAAAAACCAAAAAAAAGGCAGCAGAGCACCCTTTGCCTGACACCACTGACTCCCAGAAGCAGCATCCAGAAATGAAGAATTTCTATTTTTAGTTGACCTTTAACCTCCACAAGGACACTAGCATCAACTGATTTTTTTTTGACGTGGACATCTCTACCAACATCTGGCCTGGGACAAGTGATTTATTGCACCGAATACAATCAGGTGTCAAGAAAGACCCTAACTCAGGACTAACCTATCTATCTACACAAGGCTAGAACTGAAATAACTAAAATTGTACCTAATTTACTCCTTTAAGATTATTCATATCCTGTTTTGATTTAACTTACAGCGATGTTAAACTGAAATAGAATACTCATAATAAGAAATGAAAGAGTATGTTCGCATAAAGGCTTATACTAAAATAACTAAAGGTGTTAAATTACTTCTAGTTTCAGTTATTTTGGTTCCAGACTGTGCATAGACAAGCTCTTCACAAGTGAAGCAATAAAAATGCTCTGAATTATACTATCCTGCTAAAGAAAGAAACAGGCAGCAGAGAGATAACTGGCTAAACAAACAAACCCCTGCAAAAACAAAACCAAAACCTCCAGCTAAGTTTGATTTTTAAATCCACCTCTATTTACAGGATGTGACCCTGGGATGTTGTCTTTCCTAAAGACCTTTTCACAGAAGAGGGAAAAAAAAGAAAAAAAAAAAAAAAGCTACGTGCAGATAATGAAAGGCTTTATCTGATATCTCAATTACTCCTGCAACTGAAGCACTGCCAAAGGTTTCTGTTACCCCTTTCTCCCCTCCTCGGGGGAGAGCAACAACTGCATTTTCAATAGGAGAACAACAGATGAGACTCGGTTAAAGAAAACAAGAAGGTAACAATTCTGGTCCCAAGTGTCCAAGTGAATTTCAAAACATTACCAGGAATTATTTGGAGTTTGTTTTCTTACTGAGTATTGCAAGTCTAAAACTGCCCTCCCCGCCCTGAGCTTGAGCTTTAGTCCCTAAATCCATCAGTACATGCTCCTATACAGTTAAATGATTCTCAGGGTTACTAGATAGATAAGCACGGAGTCAGCACCAAAATAACGTACTCGACGAGGACCAGAATCCTGAGCGTGGGGATCGACTGCAGGAAAACATGGACTTGGGTTTTATTCTCAGTACTTTGAAAAGGTGTCAGATTCAACGTCTAGTCATTTACCACAAATGTACAAGTAACTGCTGGTTCCCACGAGAATCACTCTTTGCAGACACTAAACTTAAAAAAAAAACCAAAAAAACCCAAGTAATAATCCTGAATGGCTATATCATGTGTGCCCTCCAGGATACTGTCTAGCATAACTTGACCCATATTATGTGTTACCAGATAGTACAGTGCCCTCAAGACAAATTGCACCATGCAGAATTCGTATTTACACGTGATGCTATCACCAGGGTTGAGACTGTAGTACTATTGACTCTCTTACAACAGTAAATGAGGGAAAGAAGCTAGAGGTTTTGAGAGGGTGTCCGGTGCCTGGCTATCTTACAGCAATAATTCAAGCTTTATGCTTGAATGTTGACCAGAAACAAGCAGCTGAAAATCTGTGCTGTGGCTGTGAACCTCCTGCATCCCCCACCCCTGC